TATTATTATTATTATATACATTATTATATATATTATCATCATAATTATTATTATATATAATATTAATACTATCGTTAACGTTATTCATTCCCGTTGTCGCCGTATCTTTTCTGCCCAAATTTCGGCTGCCCACCTCAATTTGAGCCTTTCCCTGTTCCCTAGGCTGTTTAGGCGGCTCTTGGGTAGCCCAGCTTGACGCAGAGCCTGAATACGAGCTTAGGGCCGAACTAGGACCTGAGCTGTAGCCAGAACTCGAGCCTGACCGCTCGGGAACGTGCATTCCCGACAGTTCCCGAGTTTCGACTGAACTGCCGCAAAACAACGGTGGAGGGGGGAAATCTGCCGACAAGATCGGTCCATAAGCCGATTGGGATGGCTGGGGTGGTTGGGGCGGTGGTTCAGGGCATCTCGGGACTAAGTTAATACCAAATTGATGAGCCTGAGCTTGGGCTTGGGCCTGGGCTTGCACTTGGGCTAGTTTCTGCAACTCTAAGCCTTCGAGTGAATCGCCAGCACCCATCACTACCAGTGAGGCAGGTCTCCATCGGCCACGTCTAGGGTTCGCTGAGTTTAAGGGACCGCTGCTGAGACCGGCAGGACCCGGTAAAGGGCCTCTCAACGAGGTGGCCGCCAGGCTCGAGAGGGTCGAATCGGCAGCGCTGCCGACCTCATCAGCACCAGGCTGCACCAAACCACTGCAAAAACTTCGTGCCTTCTTGTAGCGTTCCAGACGTCGCATACGATTCGCACAAAATTGACGATACTCGGCAAAGCTATCGTCGATAATTACTGTACTCGTTACTGTATTTACAGTACCAGTTACTGTATCCGATGGAGCTACAGTGTTGCTCTCGGGGTTAGCCACCACCACTGCAATGCTGCTTGTCGAAGTCAACGGCGATTTAGGCCCAGGTCCAGGCTCGGACCCGGATCCGGAACCGATGCCACTCGACTCATTACCCGACTCTGCCGCCGCTGGCTGCTCAAGCCGTCTTCTTCCCTGTTCCTCTTCGTCGCTTGTCCGAAACTGCCCGAAACCGTTTGACGTGACTGACCACAAACTTCCCACCCGTAGTTGTGGGTAACTTTCCGGGTATGCGTTTCCATGCGCCGCTTTCACTTCGTCGCTTTCACCCAAAGAATTATTTTGCATGCTTAGGAACAAAATCTGCAAATACAACTACAATTACAATACAATACGATTACTATTACTTCATTTCGTTAAACAACTCAAGATTACAAATCAGNAATAAATAAATAAATAATAATGTCAGCACATCAAACGCAATGCCCTTCCTCTAATCTTAAAGCATGCCCATTCCTTAAGCATCCTTCTCAAGTCTTTATCAACAACACAATTAAATGATAACGAACGCATTCCGATACACGCTATCGCATCATAACCCACCCATCTGTCATATACCTTCTATACGGCATGAAATACCAAAATGAAACACATTCATTCCGAAAATATTTCAAAATGCTAAGCTGACGGCAAAAAACAATACTAATACTAATATTAATCATAATATTTTAAACCATATGCGTGCAAATTCTCAAATTCCACAAAAAAAGGCATCTCATCGTGTCTCCAACAAAAAAAAATCTATACAATTCACCTCTATCACCCAATCACCTCCATACACTTTCTTGAACCTAGACCTCAAAACCCCATCCTAAACCCTCCATAACCTCATTAAACCATCCAAAATCCCCCTTAGACCCCTCAAAAACCCCCAAAGCTGCTTCCAACTCCCAAGATATCCCCTCTAAACACACCCCCCACCATCCATCCAGTTCAATTTCAATCACGATTTCAGCTCTAAATTCATCAAAACATTCTAAAAAATATACTTCCAAATCAAAACAACCACCGAATCGAATACAAATCCGCACACGAAATCACCCCGCACTCCTCTCAATTTATTCACATTCACAATCCATCCCAAACAAGCCGTCCGAATGCCACTTCACTCCAATTCAATTCATTAATTATAATCAAGGTCATTTCAACGTCCCTCTCATTGATACTTTTAATTATTATAATTATGCATATATCAATAATAATAAAATATAATATAGTCCATGCTATTCCTCGATTCGTGTCTCTATTCAAACACCACACCAACATAAAGGCACATTATCTCCATATCGATAACTATAACAACAACACTAACAATAATAATAATAACCAAATCCAAAAACTATCAAAATTCTCATCCCGTATCGTAAACAAATGCGCCAAAGATGTCGTTTTCGTAGAACGTTAGAAGGTTTCTTTTAATTTTAATAAATGCTGACGGTGCTATGATTCATATCCTCATTTTATTATTATATATTATTA